TTCTTTCTTTCTTTCTTTCTTTCTTTCTTTCTTTCTTTCTTTCTTTCTTTCTTTCTTTCTTTCTTTCTTTCTTTCTTTCTTTCTTTCTTTCTGTGCATGCAAAATATCAGCTGCCTGGACTTTGCCTCATGTCCCGTAGCATGTTTGGCCTTTTGCTGAAGAGGTGGTAATGAGATTAGTTTAGTTGTCTCACCCAGCTGGTAAAGTTTTAGATCTCACCGGACAATAAGGGGCTTCAGCTCCTCTAAAACATGTGCTTATCACACCTCAGTGCCGAAAGGTTATGTGTGCGAGTTAACAGCTCAGGGGTGCAGCGCCTCGCTGCTCCCCTCTCTGTTCCCTCTGTCTTTCTGTCACACAACTGTAAATTCAACGCGTTCCTCTCTTCTTCAAACTGCGATCTTTTCTGCTCTTGATTCACCACTTTCCCTCTTCCTTTAACGCATTTAGAACCTAATGCAGGCATTAGCAATTGAACACACAACCCCTTTGGATTAAAGAGCTCTTCCACAGCATCATCCCAAGCATCAGTCCTAAATCCCTCACACCAATATGCAAGCCAGGAGGTTGAGTGGTTCAGAAAACAGATCTCTATTTGTTTTTCCTCAAGGGATGTCCCCTCTTTCCCCCCTCATTGGGGCCTGTCAGCTCATCCATTCGGAAGCTCCCCATGGTTTGATGTGTCTCCCTTCATCCTGTTTATCTGTCCAGAGGACACTCTGAGAGCCTGAACCCTAATTGACTTGACTGGAATTTGAGGGCTGGAGTTCCACAAGCAGCAGGTAGTGATTACTTCACAGCAAGTTTATATCAACACCATGCTGAGAGGCCCGTGTGGATGATGGCACATGATGGGACACATGGGGGAGTAGATTTTTTTTGTCTGTGTATAGCTTTCTTTTATCTGCTTCAATAGAGATACTCTGCAAGTTCTCCTTAATGACTTCTTGACTCCTCTGGAAGGTAGGTTTGAGAAGTTTTTGACCTGACCAAAGCGCAGGTTGTCCCTCTGACCTTTTGCCAGTTAGTCTGCCCTCTTTTTTTTACCCTCCCTCCTTCTTTTTGGCAGAAGCTCCGAAGCTTTTCGGCCTTTTGGCTTCAAAGCTGCTGCTGTCCACTCTTCTAGCCAGGAACTGATGAGACGTTTTAGCTAATATGTTCCAGACCAGTGACATTACAATCATCGTTGCCGAGCAGTTTCAGGCGGGAAATAAATAACAAAAAAGAGAGGATAAGGGACATGGGAGGTCAGCAGAATTACAAAGGTAATCTGTTTGACCCTTAATTATTGCTTCCTTTACAAAACATAAAAGGTCCCCCCGTGCACAGGCTGTTAGGCCTTTCCTCTCTCCAAGTGGATTGTGTTGTTTTAATCTCTCTCTATACAGGAAAAGTCACAGGATATCACCTCCATGCCTCACATTTACCCCACACATCAACACATTGAGATAAAAAAGTTAAAACAACTGCTAACACAGAGACTGCTGTGCTAATCTCTTAACTTTAATGTCAGGTATATGCTGTTGTGAAAGAAGTGGACTATCTTCAGCCACACATTGGATTAAAGAGGGGATTAGAAAGTTTGTTTGGATGGACAGGAAACTGACGGCATCATCGTTCCCAAGCAAACCGACTTATCTTCACAGAAAAAACTAAACAGAAAACTGAACAGAATTCAATGAAAACCATAAACCAAGCAAGAGCTAAGATGATCAATTTCACATTATTAAAACTTTGAAATACATCTATAGCTCTTGTAATTTCAAACTTGAAAATAAAAGAAAAATTAGACAGGTCACATTTGAGTTATTTTAACCCAGTTCTTTACTGGCCTGCTAAATAGATAACACAAACTAGTGCAATTAATGTTTTCCATGTATTCATTTACTACAGAATTGGTCATAAAGTCAACATTTATGTGGAAAGTATTTGCATTTTGTTTTTTGTTTTATCTTAAGTTTTCTTGCAATTTTATTAAGGTTAGTATGCAAGTTCAAAAACATTTAGCTCATACAAAAATAACGTATCCCTTCCAATAAATAACTAATGTGAATCTTTTTTGCCTCAGTCAGGCTTTAGCTTAGGTTGGCTGGAAAGCTGTGATTTGTCATAATCTAGTGAAAAACAACATTAACCTGATGTTTCTACTTGTGCTGTTTTAATATTTATGATGAAATAGAAATACATTTTTGGTAAAAGTATTGGTAAATGTGTTAAAAAACCTCATTAATCCATCTCTTACATTCCTATAAGAGAACAGCTGTCAGAATATTTTGCACATTTTCAAAGAACTCCACAGAAAAACTAAAACATTAAAGGTCACTTAAATAACTATTTGCTGAGATTCCTAAGCTGCTTTAACCTTTTCTTCCCACAAAAAAAAAAAATCAAACGAAACAAAATTCAAAATACCATCCGTAAACACACTAAAGTATTTCAGGAGTTTAACTTTATTTTCCAGTTTAACTAATGCTTTGCTCAATTGACAGAGGAATATTGTTTAATACTATGAAATCTACTCACATAAACCTTATTAGTGACTTGAGAGGGGAAGCATTTGTTTCACAGACAAGCACAGCTTTAAATCTTAAGACTAATTTACTTACATGACTTGGAAAGGGCAGTTGGGAGTATGGAGAAACTTGAGCTCTTTAATAGTGCGCTGAGGAACGGTGTTGAGTGTGGTACGACACCAGCAGCGCTCCACCAGACTGATGGGCTTAGCTGCAAAACACACAAGACAAACAGAAGCTCAACAAGCTGTAAACAGGCTAAATAAACTCAATAAAACCAAGAAAATGATCAACAGGAGACAAACATTTTTACTGCAATGCCCTTTATAAAAAAAAAAATTCAAGCAACTCACATGTAAAAAGAAAAAGAAAATAGCACCTCTTATTTGAACAAATTAAAAGCAAGTTAAATTGACTGTAACAAATCTTAACAAAGCACAGGAATCTACCAGTTTAGCCGCTATTTTTCCAGAACATGTTAATTAAAAAGAGATTAGCCTTTTTTGACCACTTCTTTTCTTTCTTTCATGCAACCACAGGTGCAGATTTTTAGCCTTTCATTGCAGCAGCATTTAGCCCGGCCACTCCAAAGGAAAAGGGCCCTCAGTGTTTCCAATATTCCTCCCTTTTTCTTTCTTTCTTTTCTTATAAAAAAGGGCTCTGCAGCTGAGACGGCATTAGCAGGCTGCGTGGAATCGGCTCAAGAGCATTTACAAATCAGCACCGTGAATACCTGCTGAGCTCAGAAGAGAATAGGCATGCAATTCTGCAGTTGCTTTTGTGGCTTTTAGGCTTTATATGAATATATATATATATATTTTTCAATTAGCATTTGACAGGTTTATAACCATTAATTTGTTTTATTTTAAACTATTGATCTGTGCTTCAATCAACAACCACTGATGTTTATAAAGAAACACCAAATGTCCTTCCACAAATGGCCAAATCCTTAGTAATATTCGCCTAATGATTCACACCCTTTCAGACTCCTTTGTCATGCAAACTAGGGAGTATTATGCTGCATGCAGCTCCGAAACCGCAAGCAAGGACCCACTGCTTTCCTCACTTCACTCGTTTTCCCTAATTACAAACTAATTATTGGAAAGCAAAGAGTGAAAGACAAATATACCCGCATATAGACCCAAGTCTTTGATATCCTAGAGAGGGCTCAGACTGGAGCTGAAACAACAAGCTTTAGCAGAAAATAACAGCAGCAAGCAACAATAGAGGTTACCTTGTTAGAGATTGATGTGGGGTCATCGCAAAGGCAGTATTCAAGCACATAGTGTTTTAGCCAAATATTCTTGACACATTTAGGCTGTGTATATGTATGTTTTTTTTCTATATCTATATATAAAAAAAATTTAAATATCCTTTTATTCATTTATCATTTTATTTGTGTTCTTGATATTGTATGTTCATCACTTTAATATCCCTGTTTATATGTCTTGGATTTGAATTTTTGAAAAACTCTTACACATCTTTTAAATCTTATTTGACAGAGTCCTTGGTTAATCTGTCTGTCAAAATAAATGTATGTTTTACTCGTTGCCTACAAAACAGACTTAACTCAGATGCAACCAGATTTAGCAGAAGTGCTGTTATAAAAACAGCAAACTCTGACTATAGCTTGCTCCAGAGCGAGCCGCCAGAATTGACAAAGACTAAACAGGTGTCAAGAGGTTTTCAGAAAACTAAGACTTAGAACTTGTGCAGGTCATTGCTATATTAATTCGTATTATTTAATAAATTTCAAAACAAAACACTTGAATATCTGGGATATTAAAAAACCCATGCTATCTTTTTGATAAAATACCCTGAAAGTCCTTTTTGTACTATGGGTTTACATAAAAATATAAACAGATTTAATAAAACCTTTTTTTTTTTTACATATTATTATTCAACAGGAATTAAAAATGTAATGTTCAATGTGTTTGTTTATCACAAAAAAAAAATTATAAAACAACAGCTGTGGTCAAAATTAAACAATTGAAGAGAAACTAATTAAATATAATCTTTGAAAAGCGTTCTGCCAACATGTATGAACATAATGTTGCCTTCGTTCAAAATAAAATAAATCATAAATATAACATTTCTTGAAATCTATTACATAAGAAAGAAAGTGCAATGCACATCCTGCAGCAATAGTTTGTTCATATAGATAACTTTAATGTATAATACGCAAAGATAATAAATTAATCAGAGTACATAAGTCATATTTGAAAGTAAAAACTCCTCCATGCAGGTAGATCAATAAATCCAAATGTTTATCAAATTAACAAGGTAAGATAATTTTATTTCTAAAGGTTCTAATAAAAGTTAGAAGAATGTCCAACCCAGCAAATCTAACTACAATATCCACAAAGTTCCCATTGTTGGAGCCAGACTCACCGTTTAAGGAGGGAACCTGCGTGGCCACGGCCAGCAGAGTCATCAATGCCAGAAACTTGATGTCCATGTCTTAAAGAGGGCTGCTCTTTATTTCTTTCTCTGTTACGATCCAGGGCAGAACTGTGTCCTCCTGCTCCGCTCCAGCTGCTGTTAAAGCCTCAGTGGGAGGGAGCAGAAATGTAGGGGGAGTCCCTCTTTCTCAGGAGGGAGAGGCATGAGTCCCAGTAGGACAGGAGAGGAGATGAGACGAAGAGAGGAGAAAGAAAGAAAGATTTCCTTGATTGTAATTGTGTTGGCTTCAAATCAAGGAGATCGTCTGAAGATGGTGTATCGTCTTTCTGTACTGTTTCTTTTTTCAGATTTCATCTTTTTGTATCTTTATTTTATCTTTTCTATCATCTGTTTCTCCGGTTTCCCTTCACCGCACACATAGAAGATCCACACACTGAATCCAGTACGGGTGGTTCGCCACCGGTCAATCCCAGCCCATTGTGAGTAGCAGAGCTCCCTGCTGATGGACTAATAATGCTGTATATTCCAGCTGAGTGTTGTGTTATTGTTTGCTAGGACACAGAATGCTTCCCCTTTTCCTCTCCCCGTCTTGATGACTCCTCGTCCTCTGGCTCTGTTCCTGTGCTCAACGCCTGGTTCGTGTCCTTAATAGTCTCCACAGGACTTTTATTGTCCGCTCTATGATTAAACCATTATGTATCTGTTTAGAGCTTACATCTGGACAATAATTAGGATAAAGAAAAAGGAATGCTGAAAGTAAAATGAGGAAGAAATGCAGATCTCAAAAATGACCTCTGTGATATTTCAAGTCTTCTGTGTAAGCCAAAGAAAATGAATTGAGGGCTTAAATTTAGGGCTTTTGCAATCAAGACTAAGATGGTGTGTTCATTTTCTTCAGTTTAAATGTATAGTTAAGTTTGCACAAAAACAAGTCTTTTGTATTTAATATATACACAAGTTTAAAAAGGAAAAATGCCTGTCTGCTACAGGTTGATTTATTCTTCCCCCTTCTTGATTGGTGGTCAGCTTGAGAAAGTTTCTTCACCTTCTTGAGCAACCAGAGTGAAATCATTTTCTCTAATCTTTTCAGTATCTACCCATTTAAATGTGGTTTTGTGACTGCAGAAAATCACATCTACAGAATGTGTGGAATTGTGCAGTGTTGGGTTTAAATCCAGAGAAATGTACATTTTACTAAAAAAAATGTATAGATATATTTTTCATAATTTTTAATGAGTACGAAATATAAGATATTTATTGCAGGTTATGAGGCCAATATCAACTTTCAATTCAGTTTATATATTGTGCGCTTATTCACAATACTTGTCATCTCAACCAGATTATACGGTCAGGCTGGTTCAAATTTTTCTATCTTGGAAAAACCCGATGACTACCTTAACTCTACAGCTACGTTTACATGAACAAAATTTCTGGGATCCGATACAAATCTTGGTTCACAAAAAAATCTGTTTGCATGGACAATATATAAAATTATCCAATCATGACTTATGTACACGTGAACCAAGCATTCAAAAAAATTTCCGGAACACTTCAGTAGTAGAAGAAGAAGCTGTCTGTTTTGCAAACAAACCCGTACTTGTCGGCTCCTCCTTAACTTTAGATACTCTTTTTGCCTGCGCCTCACCTTTCTTTTTCTTTGATTCTTCGGTTGTTTTATGTTGATGTGTTTTTTTCCCCACTATCGATCTTCATCACATCATGCTAGTATATTATAAGATCCAAATGGGTGTGTACATGGATGCCGATCAGAATGGTGATCAGAAAAAAACAACACTCTCAATCGGAAAAAAAAAATTCAGAATTCGATTAGAATCTTCGGTCTGACTTGTTTACTTGACACATTTTTGATCTGATCAGGCCTTCAATCTGAATATTTGTGTCCATATTGACTTGATAGCAGTCCCTGAAACTGAGCATACATGCAGTGACTGTGGAAAGGACAAAATCTCTTCTAACAAGAAGAGACCTCCAGAAGAACCAGGCTCAGTGTGAGCTGCCATCTGCTAAGGCGGACTGTGGTACAAGCAGAAAGAAGCAGACAGAAAACGAAGCAAAAACAAAACGATGACTTTCAACCTGCTCCAGAGACGGCCCCGTCCAGGAAACACACAGCAAACTCCCATGTCAGAAGATGAAAGAGAGCACATACAGTTAGTCATTCTAACAAGTATAGGTATTACAAAATACCTACTGTAGTAAGCCTAAGCATGTTTCAAAGGTTTTAGCATATCTTTTTTTGGCACAATGTCTCATGTCTCTTGACTTGGCTACCTGCTCTACATTCTCCGCAGCGTAGGAGGAAAGATGGGGAGTATTATGTGTTTTTTGCATTGTTCCGATTAAAAATGCTAGGTGTCATTATTACTTAATGCTTTCGAAGAAGCAAAGAGTCTAAACACAAAAGCCAATTGGAGGCTGCTGCTTTCCTTCTGACCAGTTCAGCCAAATGTTTGCTGGTATTAGTGAAGATTGTAACCAGCCACTTACTGCATGGGAGGAGTCAGACTTATAGCTATTAGCTCTAAATTAAAGTGACTAAACACCTTTTTATTAAAGCTCAACTTATAGAAATTATTTTAATGATTTCTGTTTTGTTTTATTCACCACAAAAAGGTCAAGGTACACTTCTTTCTTTGTCTCCAAGTTGGTGATACTATGTGACAGAAAAGATGGAATTTTAGAAATTGCTGAGTAGGATCTCTGTGGTATTAAAACAATTGATTTAGCTGGATGTGTTTTATAAGTGAGCAAACAAAGAGGACTAATGGACAGGATACAGCAGAAACAAGGCTGTAAACAAAGTTTCAAGAGACAGATGTGAGTCCTCACGTCTTCTGCTGCTCTTGACAATCTGATGGAGAACTTCCAGCCTCACATCTCAAAGAACTCCATTGAAAAAGAGCTGAGCGGGTTCAGCCGGATGTAAGGGCATGCGGGTGCTTGTATGTGGGTCTCCAAACAGCCATGTAGTTATGAACATATTGTTGCAGCATTTGTTTTGTTGCACTGAATTTATCAGATGTTAATCTAGATACGGATACTCCTTTTTCTGCCAGTATCTGTATTCTCCTTCACTCCTGCATGCACAATAAAACCTTCTGAAGCCAAAGACTGTCCATCATTTCATAAAGCCCCTCCTGTGGCTTCCAGGCCCCACCACAGCAGCCTGCTGAGAGAGCCCTTCCAGATCTCAGGCCTGCAGTTGACTGTAAAGCTATGAGGCTGTTCGCTGTTAGATGAAACTGTGCAGCAAAGAGAAAAATGTATTTGAACTAAAATAGCACACCTTCAAAAGTATATATTTCTCTACAAATGCATTTTCCACTGTACGGATTTAACCACCCATTGCCTTGAAAAAGTATCAATACCTCTTAAATAGGTTATGAATTACTGCATCAATCTTTGGACATTGCTAAACAGTACTGGAGTCATCGCCATATAATGGAAAAGCTTTTGTACTGCAACTAAGTGCTGTCCCCACAAATTGACACCTGCTTAAGGAGAAAATTTAACAGGGAATCAGCCAAGAGGTTCATGGTAACACTGGTGAAGCTTCAGAGAGCCACAGCTAAAGTAAGAAAATCTGTAGACAAACATCTATATGTCGATCAACGACAAGTTCTGTTTTCCATTCACTGCTCAAAATACACTATACTGAACAAAGCTGTTTTATTTGTGTAAGAACAAAGTGATACTATTTGACTTACATGCAAAGGCCATTTGTAGACAAAATAACACTGCTATGATTTTGAACTTGCTGATGTGCAGCATTGTAACTGCACCACAACACAGGTAGGAGGCTTTTCCTAAGAAGAGATCGGTCAGACTCTTAGAGTTGGTGGTATGATCGACCAAATATGGAGAAATCATGTAAGGAAAGCTATTAGAAATGGGTGGATGTTGACTTTCCCACAGAACAATATAAATCCAGAACTGTAATCAAGTGCATTGAAAAATCAAACTAAGACTTGGTGGTAAGACTTAATATTTTTTTTCCACAGACACCCTACAGTTAATCAAACTAAGTTGTAGCCATTGGACAAAAAACAAACAAGCCAAAACATCATCTTCTGTCAAGCTTATCCGAAGCCGGGTCGTGAGGGGTGCTGGTGCATATCTCTGGCTGTCTACGGGCATGAGGCGGGGTACACCCTGGATAGATCACCAGGGCAGAGACAATTATTCACACACATACTCACACCTAAGGAAAATTTAGAGAAGCCTATTAAAGTAACACCTAAGAGTCATGTTTTGGAATATGGGAGGATACCAGAGTACCCAGAGAGAACCCATAAATGCACAGGGAGAACATGCAAACTCTATGCAGAAAGACCCCAGGCCAGAAATTTAACCTGGAACCTTCTTGCTGCAAGGCAGCAGTGCTACCCACTGTACCACAGAGCAGCCTATAGCCAAAACATCAATAGAATAAAAAAGCTTGTTATGAAATACCCTGGACAGGTGGATCATTGAACTACTGATTGGAAAGGGTTGGTGCAAGTAACAAGTTCAAGAAAGGCCTCAAGACATTTTTATTGTATGTATGTTATTATGTTATTTTATTGTAATGTCTCGTTTTAACTATGTATGCTGTTTTTATTGTACGGTTTTGTTTTAGCTATGAATTTTGTAGCACTTTGAGATTTTGTTGAAATGTAAAGTGCAATACAAATAAAATGTAATAAAGTGCATAAAATATTGCAAAAGCTTTGAAAATCTTACACCCTCTCCCACCATTTTACAGTTGTGTGCTTGTCTTGGTCATTACAAAAAATCGTTTAGCACAGTTAAAAATGGTTGTTTTACCATTAAGACACGACCACAATAAGGAAAATTTGAAGGGCACAGAATTATTACAGAAAAGTATGGATATGTTATGAATAGATTTTTCTGAGGTCTGGCTGCATTAAACACAAGATATGTCAATAAAGTTGATTATATGACTTTAAATCAAATATAAACTATCATACATTTTTATGTGTTATAAACCAAACATTTTCTTTAATGTTGAAAATGGTTTGAAAAAATGTCTCAATCAACAGTGGTATGTGAGATATCTATTAAACGAGCCACAAATGTCAGCAGTAGCGCTAACATGCTGCACCAATGCTGTGACAGGGAATGTG